TTTGTTTATTTCCTGTTAACATACAGAATGGCATTTTGATTGCTTTCAGATTGGTGAAATAAATTTTTACCTCATTAGGTCAAAACATAGGAGCATGACTGCTGGATCATACAGTAACACTATGTTTAATTTTTAAAGAAATTGCCCAACAGTATCACAAGTGACTGTATTAGTCTGCTGAGGCTGCTATAACAGAATATCACAGACCAAAAAGCAACAAATATGTAGGTATTCATATTTCTGAACAGGAATTCAAGATCCAAGATGCCATAACATTTTCTTGTTAAAAGCTCTCTATATTGATTTTAGATAGTCATTTAAAATTTTTTTGCTGCGTGTTTACACGGCTATCACTTTTGCATTTCCAGAAACAATCACTGAGATTTTCTGTTGCAACACATGCTCAGCAGGTTTTAAAAGTTTTGTTGATCTAATGGATATGTAGGACTAACTCATTAACATCTTAATTTGTAATTTCCCAATGATATATTATGCCTCGCATGGTTGTCCTTCATCTAGTGTTGACATCTAGATGAAGGACATCTAGATGAAGGACAACCATGCGAGCAAGCCGGGTTCCGCAAAGGCTTCAGCACCATCGACCATATCCACACAATAACCAAACTCATTGAGGTTTCTCGGGAGTTCAAGATGCCGCTCTGTTTAACGTTCTTTGATTTAAAGAAGGCCTCTGATTCTGTTGAGACGGAAGCGGTCATTGAAGCCCTAGCCAATCAGGGCATTCAAGCCCAATACATCAAGATCCTCCGTGAGCTGTATTGCGGATTCACTACCAGGATCTCACCATTCTACAAAGAAGTGATCGTTGATGTCAAGAGAGGGGTGAGGCAGGGTGATACCATTTCACCGAAACTCTTCAGTGCCACCCTCGAGAACATCATGCGGCGACTGGAATGGGAAGGAATGGGAGTGAAGATAGATGGTCGGCAATTACACCACCTCCGCTTTGCTGATGACATTGTTTTAATAACACCAAACATCGGCCAAGTGGCACAAATGCTGGCCGACTTTGACCGTGAGTGTGGAAAGGTCGGACTACAGCTGAATCTTACGAAGACAATGTTTATGAGAAACAGCCTCATTCCTGACGCCCCATTCGCTCTCAACGGAACGACCATCTCCGAATGCAACAGCTATGTGTACCTAGGTCGAGAAGTCAACATGACAAATGACCTGGCACCCGAACTGCGCAGGAGGAAGAGAGCGGCTTGGAACGCCTTCAAGAACGTCGAAGAAATAGCTAAGAGGACGAAGAACCTCCGGCTCCGGGCACATCTCTTTGATTCCACTGTTCTTCCTGCATTAACATATGCCTCAGAGACCTGGGCCCTATGCAAACAGGATGAGAACGCTATTCAGGTCTCCCAAAGAAGAATAGAAAGAGCTATGCTTGGAATATCACGTTTCACTCAAATGAGAGAAAAAATCCGGAGTTCCGACATCCGTCAACGATCAAGAATCAGGGACGCTGTCTCATTTGCCAAGGTGTCAAAAATCAGATGGGCTGGTCACGTAATGAGATTTAAAGACGACCGCTGGACTAGAGCTGTTACTGACTGGATTCCACGGGATGTCAAAAGACCGTGTGGCCGCCCACCTACCAGATGGTCAGACTTCTTCGTCAAGATCATGAACGATCGGTTTGAGGCTCTTCATGTTCCCAGAGCGAACAGATGCCATTGGGCTACACTAGCACACGACAGGGACAAATGGAGACATTACTGGCGCCCGCTCGAGCAAATCGACGACTAACGGGAAGTTAAGTGATTAAGTGATATTATGCCTATTTTCTTATTCTTATTTTCCCTGTGTTCAGCTCATTTCACCATTTTTTAGCTGAGTCATTTGTGTCCTTATTGGTAATACATTTTTACCTTTACTTCACATACTTGTGCTTTATTAGGGACATTCTTTATCACTTGAACATTTGTTATTAATATAGCTACTCCCATCCTCTTTTGATAGTGCTAGTGCGGATGTCTTTACCCCATAACTTTTAAAAATTTTTTAATTTTTATTAGTGAGACATCATGAGGTACAGTTGCAGACTTACAAATTTTTGTGCTTGGGTTTCAATTATACAATGATCAAATACCCATCCCTCCACCAGTGCCCATTTCCCACCACCACGGATCCCAGTATACCTCCCACCCCCCCATCCCCCCATCCCACTCTGCCTCTGTGGCAGGGCATTCCCTTTTGTTCTCGCTGTCTTATTGGGTTACCCCATAACTTTTTAATATTTTTACTAAGGTATCATTATTTATAGTTTCAAAATCATTTTATCTAATTTTGATATTATTTTTATTTTCCCTACAGCTCTATCTCCAAGACCTGAGGGCCCGAAAGAGTTAGTGGACTGTGCAATGAAAAAGTTGTTTTATACCTACAATATGCTGGAGCGATAGCACAGCGGTAGGGCGTTTGCCTTGCACGCAGCCAACATGGCCGACCTGGGTTCGATTCCTCCGCCCCTCTCGGAGAGCCTGGCAAGCTACCGAGAGTATCTCGCCTGCACGGCAGGGCCTGGCAAGCTCCCCGTGATGTATTCAATATGCCAGACACAGTAACAATAAAAGTCTCCAGTGGAGATGTTACTGGGCCCGCTCGAGCAAATCGACGATCAACGGGAGGGCCTTTATTATTATTTATTATTATACCTACAATGCTGCTGCTAATCCTTTCATTAATCCCTTCACTTATATGTCAAGAGCCCTCTATTATTATCCCTTGGCACATTCCTCCCTCCATCCCCTTAGCCTCTTAATTCCCATAAATATGATAAATAAAATATTTATAATGTTTTAGGATTGTTTCTATTAGGGATAATCCCTAATAACACCATGTATTTCCAGGTGTGTGTGTCATCACACACTCATACTCATGTAACTTCAAGCATTGTCTTTACATACCTGTCAGCCAGAAGCAGAAGTCAATTATCCATCACATCAATATAAATTTTACAAGAAATAGGGATAAAAGGGTAAGGAACAGAAAGGTACAAGAAGCCAAATCTAGAATGCAATAAATTCTAAGGGTCAAGTGACTAAGCAACTTCACCAAAGTAGCTCAAAATCTACTTGGTGGTGGTGGGGCTGGAGAGATAATACAGCAGGTAGAACATTTGCCTTGCATGCCACTGACCTGGGTTTGATCTCTGGTACCCCATATGGTTTCCCAAGCCTGGCAGGAAACCCTGAGCACAGATGGGCATCATCCCCAAATTAAAAAAATATACCAAAAGATGGTGAGTGGTCAAGGGATGTATGAGACATGCTTACTTTAGGTCATGGGCAAAAATTTGATTTTTTTCCCTTTTTTTTAAAAATAAATTTACTTATTGAATCACCGTGAGAGCAGTTACAAAGCTTTTGGGTTCAAGTCTCAGTTAAACAATGATGAAACACGCATCCCTTCACCAGTGCCCAAACAATGATAAAACACCCATCCCTTCACCAGTGCCCATTTTCCACTACCAAAAACCCCAATATACCCCCATCTTACGACCTCCCCCTATCTGTGGGGAAGATGATTTCCACATTACTCTCTCTCTCTACTTCGATTACATTCAATATTTCGACACCAGACCCACCATTATTATTTCGGATTTTACTCCAACACTCAGATCTGCCGAAAAGGCAATAGTAGACAATTTTTGACAATTTGGTTTCTACTGCTGATTATAAATAACATATGATGTTGCGCAGCTGCAGTAGTGGCTGCGCAAGTTTGGAATTCTGAAATTTTAACAATTAAATCTGGAGGGATTTCTGCCAAAACCTGCTGGGTTCCAAGATTGTCTCTGAGTCTCTGCGATCATGGCTGTTAAGCAGTTCGATCAGGAACCAGAGAGGCCTTGCCTCCAATTATATAGCTGAGCGGGAGGTGGTTTGTGGGTGTGTCTCCCACATACCTAACTTTTGGTGGTTTACTTTCTTGGTAAACTTTGCCCTAAGTTGTTGGGGTCTGGCCAAAGGCCAGACAATACCCCAGCAATTTTGGGGTATCTGGAAGTCTGAAAGTGCCATCAGGCTGCTGATGCACTCGTCTCACAGGTACAGACCGACCTGCTGGTGGCACCATACCCCAGAAAAATTTGATTCTTATTGAAATCTACCTTAAAGAATAAGCATATGTGGAAACAACTGAGAAAAACAGTGCCAACATTATTTTATTTTATGGTATTTTTCTTTTTGCAAGGGGTGGGGAGGCACACCCAGCAGTGCTCAGGGATTACTCTTGGCAGGACTCTGGAAATACGTGAGGTGCTGAGGATAGAACCCGCATGTAAAATACTATCTCTCTGCCCCTCTTTCATGATTTTTAAAAAATTTTTATTAGTGAGACACCATGAGGTACAGTTGTAGACTTACAAATTTTTGTGCTTGGGTTTCAATTATACAATGATCAAATACCCATCCCTCCACCACTGCCCATTTCCCATCACCACGGATCCTAATATCCCTCCCAACCCCCCATCCCCGCATCCTACCCTGCCTCTATTCTTTTATATTTTAATGTATCTTATTTTCTGTGATAAAGAGCCTGTGGATTTAAAAATGCACTGAGATTATGAATTAAATATAATGTATATATAATTATAAATAACTCACTGATGAATATGGAGATAGATGAATCAAGAATGGCCATGACACAGTAAATGATGGAAGTTTCACAGGGCTAACACAGTCCTTTCCAGTTAAATGTTTTGGTCTCAGGATATAAGCATGTACCAAAAGCATCAAGTTGTACACGTTGTGAAATTTATCCAGAGTCAATTATATCTCAATAAGCTGGGGTTTTTTTGTTTTGTTTTTTGGGCCACACCTGGTAATGCTCAGGGGTCGATGATGCTCAGGGGTTACTTGTGGCTCTGCACTAAGGAACCATTACTGGTGGTGTCAGGGGACCATATGGGAACCCAGGTAAACCCCATGCAAGGCAAATGCCCTACCCTCAGTACTATGGCTCTAGTCCCTCAATAAGATTTTTTTTTAATATCAGGGGGTGTCATCCTTGTGCAGGGGCCATGCTAATCTTCTCTGTATCATTCCAATTTTAGTATATATGCTGCTGAAGCGACCCTTGACGTATTCAATATGCCAAACACAGTAACAACAAGTCTCACGGTGGAGACGTTATTGGGCCCGCTCGAGCAAATCGCTGAACAATGGGAGGACTGTGACTGTGACCAATCAGGGGATGGAATCAGAGAGATAGTACAATGGGTAAGGTGTTTGCCTTGCACGCAGAAATGCATCACGACCCTGCAGTAGGTTACTGTCGCTGTGCCGCCCCTGGGGGGAAAGGGTCTTGTCCTTCCACCTGCTCCCCTTAGGCATCTCGGTGGCTGCCATCCTCCAGAGGCCATTGGGCAGTCAGGTTTGGGCCCTCAGTGACGAGACATGCAGGGTCTCAAGGGATGGGGGTGGAGCCGTCCTTTTCCTCCCCATCCCAACGAGACCCTGAGTCTCCGCCCATGAACGGCCTTTCTGGCTCCTGATCAAGCTGCTTAACAGCCATGATCCCAGAGACTCAGGAACAAATCTCGGAACCCAGCAGGTTTTTGGCAGAAATCCCTCCAGATTTAATTGTTAAAACTTCGGAATTCCAAAATCGTGCGGCCACTATTGTAGCCATGCAACACCATATGTTATTCATAATAAGCAATAGAAAACAAATTGTCTAGTGTTGCCTTTTCAGCAGATCTGAGTGTTTGGGTAAAATACCCAATAATAATGGTGGGTCTGGTGTCAAAATATTGAATGTAATCATAGTAGAGAGAGAGAGTAATGTGGAAATCATCTGCCCCACAGGTAGGGGGAGGGCGTGGCATGGGGGTATACTGGGGTTTTTGGTGGTGGAGAATGGGCACTGGTGAAGGTACAGGTGTTTTGTTGTATGACCGAGACTTAAACCTGGAAGCTTTGTAACTGCTCTCACAGTGATTCAATAAATAAAATTATAATCACTTAATCACTTATTCCCCATTATTCATCGATTTACTCGAGCGGGTGCCAGTAACGTCTCCATTCATCCCGGTTGCGTGCTAGCGTAGCCCAATGGTATCTGTTAATTCTAGGAACATGCAGAGCCTCAAACCGATCATTCAGGGTCTTGACGAAGAAGTTTGACCATCTTGTAGGTGGGCGTCCACGTGATCTTTTGATGTCCCGTGGAATCCAATCAGTAATGGCTCTAGTCCAGCGGTTGTCTGTAAACCTCATTACGTGTCCAGCCCATCTGATTTTTGATGCCTTGGCAAATGGGACAGCGTCCCTGATTCTTGAGCACTGACGAAGATCAGAACTCCGGATTCTATCTCTCATTTGAGTGAATCATGATATTCCAAGCATAGCTCTTTCGATTCCTCTTTGAGAGACCCGAATAGCGTTCTCATCCTGTTTTCGTAGGGTCCAGGTCTCTGAGGCATATGTTAATGCAGGAAGAACAGTGGAATCAAAGAGATGTGCTCGTAGCTGGAGGTTCTTTGTCCTTTTAGTTATTTCTTCAACGCTCTTGAAGGCATTCCAAGCCGCTCTCTTCCTCCTGCGCAACTCAGGTGCCAGGTTATTCGTCATGTTGATTTCTCGACCTAGTATATATAACTGTTGCATTCAGAGATGGTGGTTCCGTTGAGAGCGAATGGAGCATCAGGAACAAGGCTGTTTCTCAAAAACATTGTCTTCATAAGATTCAGCTGTAGTTCGACTTTTCCACATTCACGGTCAAAGTCATTCAGCATTTGTGCCGCTTGGCTGATGTTTGGTGTTATTAGAACGATGTCATCAGCAAAGCAGAGGTGGTGTAGTTGCCGACCATCTATCTTCACTCCCATGCTTTCCCATTCCAGTCGTTGCATGATGTTCTCGAGGGTGGCACTGAAGAGTTTTGGTGAAATGGTATCACCCTGCCGAACCCCTCTCTTGATATGGATGATTACTGCTTTGTAGAATGGTGAGATCTTGGTAGTGAATCCGCAATAGAGCTCATGAAGGATCCTGATGTATTGAGTTTGTACGCCCTGATTGGCTAGGGCTTCCATGACCGCTTCCGTCTCAACAAAATCAAAGGCCTTCTTTAAATCAATGAACGTTAGACAGAGCGGCATCTTGTACTCCTGAGAAATCTCAATGAGCTTAGTAATCGTGTGGATATGGTCAATGGTACTGAATCCTTTTCGGAATCCGGCTTGTTCACATGGTTGTCCTTCATCTAGTGTTCTGCTAATCCTGTTCAGGATGACTCGAGTAAACAGTTTGTAGACGACAGACATTAGGCAGATTGGGTGATAGTTGCCAATGTCGTGGATGTCTCCCTTCTTGTATAGTAGTATAGTCCTGCTGGTTTTCCATTGGGATGGAACCTTGCATTCAGATAGGTAGCGTGTGAAGAGCCGAGCCAATGTATTGATGAGTACTGATGGTAAGTTCTTCAGGTGTTCAGGTCTGATCTTGTCTGAGCCAGGTGCTCTTTGTTTCTTTACCGATGAGATGGCATGTTGGATTTCAGAAGGGAGAACATTGGGAACGACATATCCATCATGTGGTATGTGGTATGTGGGCAAGTGGACGTGGTTATTAAAGAGATCTGAGTAGAAGTCATGAATAATCTTCTCCATTACCCTTCTGGAAGATGTGATAGATCCATCATAATGTCGGAGGGCAGTCATCTTGGTTTTGTAGTTGGCGAAGGACAGGCGGGCTTTACGAATGCTTTTCCCAGCTTCTGCCGCATCTACCAGTACTGCTGCTCTCCTGATTTTGAAGTCATCCTTGATGGTTTCTCTGCACTGTGTTGCCAGTTTGGATGTTCGCTTGTGGTTGCCTGAGGCATGTGCCAAGCCATGTTGGCGAATAAGTTCAAGAGTGTTCGAAGAAAGGCGTTTTTTTGTGGTTATCTCTCTCTTGGCATTCCTCGCACAATCATGGAGGTGTTGAATTATTCGATCGTATTCCTCATCAATGTTGTCAATGACGGCATCTTCCCATGTTGCCGCAACAGAGCCAAAGAGCTCCCAGTTGGTGGTCGTTCTGGGAGTCCTCTTCTTAAACCTTGCATTCTTTTCTCCTCGTTCTGTGAGGTAGAATTTTGCACGAAGAAGACGGTGGTCTGATCCCGTTTGGAATTTTGGGACAACAGCAACATCGGTTAGGCAAAACCGCTGATTGAATATGATGTGGTCTATTTCATTGTGGAATCGTCCATCGGGAGACTCCCATGTCCAACGTTTATATTCAGCCTTTTGGAACTGTGAGTTACCATGGAAGGTTTTGGTTGACATGATGAACTCAGACAGTCTGTCACCCTGTTTGTTCCATTCTAGGCCATGGATGCCGATGTGGAGTTCATCGACTGATCTTCTTGGTCCTATCTTGGCATTAAAATCACCGACAATGATCTTGTAGAAGGTGTGATCTTCTTTATAGAACTTCTCCAGCTCCATGTAGAACTTCTCAGTTTCTCTTTCACCATAACTGGATGTTGGTGCATAGACAACAAAGATAGAAACTGCCGGTAGTGAGCCACATCTATTCAAGTGTAATCGTCCGATTCGGGTTGTTAGGCATTCGAATGAATCAATGCTCGTGGCTAAGTTTGTGTTGACAAGGATACCGACACCATCGACGCCTCTTTTATCACATGTTCCAAGGAACAGTTCTTCTCCAGTGTCAAAAACGGCATGATGTGATTGATGTCTTCTCGTTTTGGTAAGACCAATGATGTCATACTTGATCTTTCACGCTTGTACCATAAGGTCGTCAATGGATGCAGTAGATGCCAGCATACAAGCATTAAAAGTACAGACAATCATTTTTGTTTTTCTCCATTTTGGCAGCCTATTTCTGCCTTGGTATTTTATCAGCCTTTCCTTCCATATCTTTCTTGACTCTGCCATATTCAGGGTTAGGGGAATGAGATCCATTTATTACTGGATTTGGCATAACAATTTGGTCTATTTGGCATAGACCACGGATAGCTTGCCAGGCTCTGCCGTGCGGGTGGGATATTTAAAGGTACCCTGAAAACTTAGAGAAAAGTAAATAAATAGTAAATAAAAAGATGAAAAAGTAAATAAACAGATGAATAAAATAAATTTTATAATAAAATTATAAAAAGGTAAAGGTAAAGGTAAAGGCCCTCCCATTGATCATCGATTTGCTCGAGCGGGCCCAGTAATGTCTCCATTGGAGACTTTGTTGTTACTGTGTTTGGCATATCGAGTACTCTCTGTAGCTTGCCGGGTTCTCCAAGAGGGGCGGAGGAATCGAACTCGGGTTGGCCATGTTGGTCGCTTGTAAGGCGAATGCCCTACCGCTGTGCTAAAATGAAAAAATAAAAGTTGTTTGCCTTGCATGCAGCCAACCCGGGTTCAATCCCCAGCACTCACTATGGGCTCCTGAGCACTGTCAGGAGTGATTCTTGAGCATAGAGTCAAGAGTAAGCTCTCAGCACCACTGGTATGCCCCCCACCAAATGATGGGCTGGTGAGATAGCTCATGGGAAGGGGTGTATGCCTTGCAAGGGAAGGTCCCCAAGTTTGATCCCTAGAGTCTCACTGGACATATCTGTGGAAGCCTCTGAGCACTACTGTGGTGACCTAGAAGCCTCCAGCATAACGGACTCGAGCGTCATTGCATCTCTAGGTACAGCATTGAATCACCTGGCTTAAGTATTTGAGTGGGTTGAATATTGCCAGGAGTCGTTCTTGGGTCCCCTATGCACTATTTGGAAGGCCCCCTGGAAAAAATCAGAATTATTCAAAACTTCTCCTTTCTAATAATTTACTATCATCTGTATTCTTGGGTTTATTTATATCAATAATTATGGTGAAAAATAAACTGACGTCCTATCCTGCATCCGTTTTCATTCCTTGTTCAGTGAGATAATGCTGGTATCTTAAAATGGGCCAAGTGGGAACTTCTAAAGTGTAAAGATGTCTTGGCTCTACAACAGAAACTTGCAGCAACATAAACTTGACAATGACCCTGGGAAAACTAGAAAGTACAGATAGCTCCTGAAGATCTGCCACAAATTCATAACTCATGGAGAATATTCTCATATGGTTGTCTCCATGAGGC